ATTTATAATTATTTTTTTTTGTGTACAATTTTTAGATATTTGAATAAATTTCCAATTTTTTTTTCTTTTGCAGGTAAGTCCCTAAGATTTTGTATAGTTGGGTAAGTTAAGGCTCTATCTTTTTTATACCATTGGGCGAGATATGAAAATATTGGCAACTAAGTTCAATTTTTTAATATTTCTCCAAAAAACAATTTTTTAATATTTGAATCTTTACGAATTTATATATAATCAACGGTCAGAATTGACCTGTTCGTCTATTTGTGATTTCGAGGGATTAAAAAAAAATCGCGGTTTAGTGGAAATTTTGACTTTTATTTAACACAAATATTATGGTATATTTTACAAACTAAATATTACCCGATTACCATCCAATTTGTATGGTTTCTTTCTGCCCAGCCCTAAGCTCTAGCCCCACGCAAAATTCCGCGTCAATTGGTCTATAATTGCGACCTGTAGAGCTGTAGGGCAACCGCAAAATCAGGAAATTTTTCAGTTTTTGGTCCATTTCAACCTCTAAATATTATGCAGAAGCATTAGACTTCTATTCTGTTCCTTGCCCCACCTCCATTCTAAATTTCGTGCGACCAGTAGAATGATTACAAATTAACATGGACTGACGGATAGACGGACATATATAGCTATATCGACTCAGCTCGGCGAGATAGGAAGATCCATATATACTTTCCTATATGGGAAACCAATATTTCGACCCAATCAAACTTATAATAACCTTAAAACATAGTGTTATAGGGTATAAATAGCCCCCCCTGGACATTTGGAATTTTTCGGAGCTTTTGTATATCCAATACATTTTTTTTCAGAAATTTTCCTTCCTTCCCAAGAAGATTTCAATTTCAAAAAAAAAAAAAAAAAAAATAAATAAATAAATAAATAAAATAAAAAATAATAAATAACAAAAAAGATGAATTTCCCCTTCCCCCCCAAAAAAAAAATTCAATTTCCACAAAAAAAAAAATAAATAAATAAATAATGTAACAAAAAATAAATATATAATTTGAATACCCTCCACTATTTGGAAAGAATTTGGCAATTTTCAAAAAAAAAAAAAAAAAAACAAGTAAACAAGTATCGGTCGGTTTTGCCGACAGATGTATACCCTCAGCCAATGTTCGATTATTAAAACATATTTTTTTAATTTCCATATTCATCTCAGAGAGACATATATTTAGATATTGCAAGTTGTAAAGAATCGCTGAGTTGTTTCGCAATTTATGACAGATAAAAGTATTGAAAATTGTGTCTCTTTGTGGGTGAGGTACTAGAAGGGGTTCGCAGATATATAGCATTTTCACAACAGATTTTGTGTTAGCAAAAATGTTTGTATGTGTGAAATTTAAAGAGAGTCGGATTCTTATTTCGCCCTCTTTGAGCGTTTTGTATTTCGTCGTTTTTCTTTCTGTATTTTTTGAAAATTTCGACCATTTGTGGTGGAGGTACCTGGAGGAGTGGACCGATATATTCCTTCTTAACACCATACCTTGGGTCTATATAAATATTGAGATGTGTGAAATTTGAAGACAATCGGACTCTTAAATCACATTTTATGAGAGTTGTAATTATTCAAAATTTTGACCATTTGTGGGGGGGGGGGGTACTTGGAGTGGACCGACATTATCCATTTGCACACCCGACCTAGCACTGACCAAAATATTAGGATTTGCAAAGTTGGAGCAAAATCGGATTATAGTTTCTCTTTCTGTGAAACAAATATTTTTTTTTGTAAATTTCGACCTTTTGTAGGGGAGGTACTAGAAGGAGTGGCCCGATATTGCTCATCTCCCAACTCGATCTTAGTTTGACAAAAATATTACGATGTACCAAGTTTCGACCAAATCGAATACTCCCTTTGAGAGTTATCGTGCGCATCAGCCAGCCAGACAGACGGACGGACATCGCTAGATCGACTCCAAATTAAAATCTTAAAAATACCAAACGTAGTCGCCATATTAGGGTCTGAACGACAGCGTGTACCTGCATAGGCAACTTTTGTCATAAGTCATTACGAAACTTGAAAAAAAATAAATCGGTGAATAATGTCGCGAAAATCATCAAAATACCGAATACGGGGAGGTACCATTATATGGGGGCTATACGAAGACGAGGACCTACATGACCCATTTGTTGTCTTAGGATGTAGTATCCAATACGAACTTCAAATGCCAAGTTTGAAACAATTCCGGTGAATAATGTTGCTAAAATCATCAAAATACCGAATATCGGGTGGTATTGGTATATGGGAACTATACCACAACGTGGACATACATGGCCAATTTTCAATACCAAGAGTCCTGCAGACATAATGTATATTTGAGTAAAATTTTATTAGTCTACTTTATTTCGTTCGGAAGCTAGAGTGATTTCCACAGACGGACTGACGGACGGACATCGCTAAATCGGTATAGAATTTTATGCTGATCAAGAATATATATACTTTGTGGGGTCTAAAATGTGCATTTCGAGGTGTTACAAACGGAATGACAAACTTAATATACCTTCCATACTATGGTGGAGGGTATAAAAATAAATAAATAAAAAAAATTAAAAAATAAAATAATAATAAAAATAAAAATACAAAAAATATTTTAATAAAAAATCCCTTTCCACCGAAAAAAAAGATTTCAATTTCCACAAAAAAAAAAAAAAAAAAAAAAAAAAAAAAAAAAAAAAAAAAAAAAAAAAAAAAAAAACAAATAATAATAACTAAATAAAAAAGTATTAAATGAGTTATATTTTAAATATTTCTCAAAAATCCATTTTTATACCCTACACCACAAGGTGGTCAGGATATTATGTCCTTGTGCATTTGTTTGTAACAGGCAAAAGGAAACGAGCTTCTTTTGATGATCTGCATAGAATCACTTTCTAAGTTGATTTATGCATGTCCGTCCGTCCGTTCGTCAAAGTACAGTTCGCATTTATTGCCCTATCCAGATGAAATTTTGCACAAATCATTTGTTTGGCCCAAGGACGAACCCTATTGAAATTGGAGATAATCGGTCAAAATTTAGATATAGCTCCCATATATATCTTCGCCCGATTTGCCTTTTATTGTGCACCAAACGTGTAATATCAGCTCGAATAGTATGGAATTTTGCACGTACGATCAGATTGAATCTCAAAATAAGTATGCCAAATTTGATCGTAATCGGTTCAGATATAGCCATAGCTCCCATATATATTGTTCATCCGATTTGTCGTATTTGTTACCCACAGCCGTAATATGCACTCCGTAACAACCATATTCAGGCATATATATCAAATACAGCTCAGAAATATCTTTGCCAAATTTTATCGAAATCGGTTCCGATTTGGATATATCGCTCCCATATATATCTTTATCTGATTTCAAATCAATTTTGCACCAAATGGCCCATACAAGTCCGAATTTAAAAGATACAAATGCTTCGGCATATTTAGTCCTTTGAACTTTAAATTATAATTTTATAATTATATATAATTATAATATAATTAATTAATTATAATTACAAATATAATAATTATGATTATAATAATTATAATTATATATAATAATTATAATTATATTATATTATTATATTAATTATATTATTATATTATATATTAATTATATATATAATTAATTAATTATATATATATATATATATATATATATATATATATATATATATATATATATATATATATATATATATATATATATATATATATATTAATTATATTATAATTATAATTATAATTAATTATTATAATTATAATTATTAATAATTAATTATAATTATAATCATAATAATAATAATTATAATTATAACTATAATTTTAATAATTATAATTATATAATTATAAAATTATATAATTATAATTACAATTATAATTTATAATTATCATTAATTATTAGTTATTATAATTATAATTATATAATTTTATAAATATATAATTATTAAATTATATTATTATAATTATAATAACTAATAATTAATTATAATTATAATTATAATAATTTATAATTAATTATAATTATAATTATAATAATTACAATTATAATTATAACTATAATTATAATTATAGTTATTATAATTATAATTATAATAATAATAACTATAATTATAATTATAGTTATAATTATAATTGTAATTATTATAATTATAATTATAATTAATTATAAATTATTATAATTATAATTATAATTATAATAATATATAATTATAATTATAATTATAATTATAATTATAATTATAATTATAATTATAATTATAATTATAATTATAATTATAATTATAATTATAATTATAATTATAATTATAATTAATTATAATTATAATTATAATTATAATTATAATTATAATTATAATTATAATTATAATTATAATTATAATTATAATTATAATTATAATTATAATTATAGCGTGTATGATTGAACTCTCCCATAAAAACTTTTAATTGTTATGCGGAGCTCTACTAAATTAGCAAAGTGGTGTAGGGTATCATAAAGTCTGCCCGCCCGACTTAAAGACTTTCTTTACTGGTTTAATATGCGAATCTATACGAATTTTATAATTTTTAAAAAATAACCCCATGAAAAACTTCCCCTGGACATTTGGTATTTTTCTGAGTTTTTTTATAAATTAAAATAAATATGCTTTTTCACAATTTTCCTTTCCTCCCCCAAAAGATTTCAATTACCAAAAAAAAAATAAATAAATAAATAAATAATAAAAAAAATCTTCAATTATTTTTTTAATATATGTTGTCCATTATTGGTCGTTTTTATTTATTTATTTACACAATACATTAAATATATACAAATTAAAAAAAAAAAGAAAGAAATAAACAAAAATTTTGCTCAAACTAAAAAAAAGTCATAAAACATTCAACTGGCCAGACAATCAAACAAATGTTGTGCTCAATATTATTCTTATTTAAAAAAAAAAAAAAAAATAAGGGAAAAGGCAAGTTTGATCCGGAATCACAATCCAGGGATGGCAGTGATAATGGTTTAATTTGTTAAAGCGTAATTGTGCCAAAGATCAAATAAAAATTATTCCCATATTTTTTATTGCGAGACACAACAGATCTTTTGTTTGAAACAGTTCCACGTTTCAATTCGAAATCGTTTTAATTTTTAAATAATAATTTTTTTTCGTAATTTTTTTCTAAAAATTTTTTTTTCAATTTTTTTTCTGTTTTCATTCTCGTTATCACACTCTAAAACTAAACAAACAAAAAAAATATACAAAATTAGATTTAAAGTTAAAAATAAAGAAAATTTGTTTTAATAAAAAAATAAACACTCACACACACGCAGACCATTTTAGATTCTAAAAAAAATGGTCCGCATGGTTTTGGATTTTTTAAAAAAAGAGAAATCTTTGTTGTTGTTGCTGCTGGTGTTACTTTTCTAGGCCTCACGAGTAGAAATTGTCTATTTTTTGTGGAGATAACCGCCATGACCATGACCGCCATAACCATGACCACCATAACCATGGCCATAACCATGACCATAACCATGGCCATAACCGTGACCAACAGCAATACCAGCGCCGACATGGCTTTCCAAATGGACAGGCACGGGAACGGGTACCTTGTAGGGTACATGTCTTTCCACGGTCACGGGCACATTATGTTCGATGTGTACAGGTACGGGACGTTCAACGGGTACCTTGACGGGATAGGGTACTTGACGTTCAACGGGATAAGGAACTTCCTTGATGACTGGATAAGGTTGGGGCACACCAACCTTGACGGGCACAGCAACGGGACGATCAACGGGCACTGGCACTGGATTATCGACGGGGACCTGTACATTGACCTGGACCTTCTTCTCAACGGGGTATGGTACGGGTTTCTCCACTGGCACGGGGTATGGTTTCTCCACATGGACAGGGTAGGGGCGATCAACGGGCACCTTGAAGGGCACCTGAACAATCTTCTCCACGGGGTAGGGTTGTGGCACATGGACGGGTACTTTCACAGGAACCTGGACAATTTTCTCAACTGGATAGGGTTGTGGCACTGGGACCTTAACGGGCACTTGCACAATCTTCTCAACTGGATAAGGAGCTGGAACGGGAACCTTTACGGGCACTGGGCGATCAACATGTACCGGCACTTGGACATGTACGGTCTTTTCCACAGGGTAGGGTTGAGGAATATGCACGGGTACTTTAACGATTTCCTTTACCGGATAGGTGACAGTCTTTTCCACGGGGTAAGGTGCGGGAACGGGTACCTTAACGGGATATGTAACAGTACGTTCCACCGGCACTGGGATGTGTCGTTCCACTTGATAGGGTACGGCAACATTGCGTACAACAGTGTTAACCTGAACATTAGTGGGAATGGCACCACCACCCAAGCCGGTGCCTCCGAAACCACCACCATAGGCAGCACCGCCACCATAAGCAATGGCAGCACCACCACCACCATAAAGACCACCACCATGGCCGCCCAACACCAAGCCACCACCCGAATGGCCATAACCAACAGGGGCATAACCATGACCGACTCCATGGAGAATACCACGTTTCTCCTGTTTCTTCTCGACTGTGCTCACCGAAGCCTTAGCTTCAGTTGCGGCGGGTTTTGGTTCAATTGATTTTGCCTCAACAGCCTTCTTGGCATCCTCGGCGCGGGCGAAGACACAAAGGGCCAAGAGCCCAAAAATAAGCTGGAATGAGAGAAGGGGAGGAGACATTGATTAGGGATTTGAAATAATAAAAAAAAATAAAAAAAAAAAACATAGGCATAAGAATAGATGACGAACATTATAACCCTATAAATGGATGATAATTCCCACAAAGGGAAAACGGCAGAATAATATTTTATGGATATTTGGATAAAATGGATAAATTTTTTTTCGATATTGAAAAACGTGGGTATAAAAATCCGGGGATTAGGATAACGTGGATAACATTTTCCGAGTATTTGGATAACGCGGATAATATTTTCAAGCCATTAAGGTAAATTGGATAACATTTTCGGGGTATTTGGATAAAGGGATAATATTTTTAAGATATTTTGATAAGGTGGATTACATTTTTAGGGTATTCGGATAACATGGATAATATTATCGAGGTATTTGGATAACGTGGATAATATTTTCCAGGAATTTGGATAAATTGGATAACATTATCAGGGGTTTTTGGATAATGTGGATAATATTTCCCGACTATTTGGATAACAAGGATAATATTTTCAACATATTTTGGTAACGTGGATACAATTTTCAGGGTATTTTGAGAAAGGGAATAACATTATCGAGGTATTTGGATAACGTAGATAAAATTTTCAGGGTATTTGGGTAACGTGGATAACATTTTCAGGGACTTGGATAATGTGTTTAACATTTTCCGAGAATTTGGGTAATGTGGATTACATTTTTAGTGCATTTGGATAACGTGGATAAAAGTTTTAGAGCACTTGGATAATGTTGATAATATTTTCAGGGCATTTGGTTAATGTGGATAATATATTCAATATATTTCGATAAAGTTAATAACATTTTCCGGATATTTGAAAACGTGGATAACATTTTCAGGGTATCCGGATAAGGTTGATTACATTTTGGATAACGTGGATAATATTTTCAAAATATTTGGATAACGTGGATATTACTTCCAGGACATTTGGATAGCGTGAAAAAAGGTATCAGGGTATTTGGATGACGTGGATAATATTATCGATGTATTTGGATAATGCGAAGAGTATTATCCAGGGATTTGGATAATGTGGATAGTGTTTTCGAGATATTTGGATAACATGGATATAATTTTCCGAGCATTTTGATAATGTGGATACTTATTTCCGAGCATTTGGATAACGTGGACAATATTTTCACGACATTTGGGTAATGCGGATAAAATTATCAATGCATTTGGGTAACGAGGATAACATTTTTCCGATATTTGGAAAAATTGGATAACATCTTCAGGATATTCGGATAACGTGGATAATATTTTCAAGATATTAGGATAACGTGGATAATATTTTCAAGATATTTTGATAATGTGGATAATATTTTCAAGATATTTTGATAATGTGGATAATATTTTCAAAAAAATCTCAAGGGGAAAAATGCACGTCTTTAAAAAATATTTGTAAACAACCCGCATTATTTAATGACTTTTATAAAATATGTTTAAAAAAATCCAAGTTATAAAAAAGATTTTTTAAAAAAATCCGCATTATTTAGTGGCTCTCTATAAAATATTTTTAAAAAATCTGCATTATTTAATGGCTCTCTATAAATTATTTTTAAAAAATCCACGTCTTAAAAAATATTTTTTAAAAAATTCAAATCTTAAAACATATAAAAAAAATAAAATTTACGTAATTAAAAAACCCACCGCTAAATAAAAATTACGTAATTAAAAAATTCACGTCTTTAAAAATATATATTTTGAAAATCCACGTTTTTAAAAATATATTTTGAAAATCCACGTTTTTAAAAATATATTTTGAAAAAAATCCACGTCTTTAAAAATATATTTTGAAAATCCACGTCCTTAAATTTTCTGCTAAAAATACACGTCTTAAAAAATATTTTTAAAAAAATCCTCGTCTTTAATTTTTAATATTTTAAAAATTCCACGTCTTTAAAAACATATTAAAAAATATATTTTAAAAATTCCACGTCTTTAAAAAATATTTTTAAAAAAATTCACGTCTTTAAAAAACTTTTTTGAAAAAAAATTTAAAAATAACGTCTTTAAAACTCGTTTTTGAAAAATCCACGTCTTTAAAAAGCGTTTTTGAAAAATCCACGTCTATAAAAAATCGTTTAAAAAATCCACTTCTTTAATAACTATTTTAAAAAAAATCCAGGTCTTTAAAAGTTCTACGTCGTTAGAAAACGTTTTTAAAAAATCCACGTGTTTAAAATATATATTTTTTTATTTAAAGGATATTTAAAAACATTTTTTTTCTTTTAAGGATATTTAAAAAATATTTTTAAAAAATCTACGTTTTTATAAAATACAAGTACAATACACGTTTTTAAAAAATTTACGTCTTTAAAAAATATTTTTTTAAGGATATTTAATAAGTATTTTTTCTTTAAAGAATATTTGAATAAATATTTTTAAAAAATCCACATCTTTTTATTTTTTGAAAAATCCACTTTTTAATGAGTCTTTAAAAAATATTTAAAATAAAAATCCACGTCATTTGGTGGGTCTTTAAAGAATATTTTTTTCCAATGGACCTTTAGAAAATATTTTTAAAAAATCTAGTTTATTTAAAAGGTATTTTACAAATAAAATCTGCTTTATCTACGGTATTTTAAAAATATTTTTAAGAAATCCACGTTATTTAATTGGTCTCTAAAAAAAATTTTTTTTAAACATCTACCGTTTTAAATGTGTTTTTAAAAACTTTTTTTTAATCCACTTGATTTAGAAACTAGTTTTTAAAAAAATCTATCTTATTTAATGGACCTTTAAAAATATTTTTACAAATTCACCTTATTTAAGAGGCTCTTAAAAATATTTTTAAAAAAAACCTACGGTATTTAATGGGTCTTATAAAATTATTTTGAAATAATCAACATTATTTAGTAGGTCTTTAAAAATATTTTTAAAAAAATCTCGTTTTTAATGGATGGAAAAAATATTTATTAAAAAATCCACGTCATTTAAAGATTCTTAAAAAGTATTCTTTTTTATTTTTTTTTCTTTATTTTTATTTAATGAGACTTTTAAAAAATATTTTAAAAAATTCACGTTAAAAATATTTTATAAATAAATATTTTGAAAAAATCCACGTTATTTAGTGGGGTTTTAAAAAATATTATTAAAACTCCGTTTTATTTAATGGACCTTTAATTTTTTTCTTTAAAGGCACGTTACTTAAATATAAATATACAAATCCACGTTAAAAATATTTTGTAAAAAATTCTCTTTATTTGGTGGTCTTTAAAGAAATATTTTTTTTTTAAATCCACGTTATTTAGTGGGGTCTTAAACAATATTATTAAAAATATTTAATGGGCCTATATTTTTTCCTTTAAATCCACGTTATTTAAGAGGTCATTTCAATTTTTTTTAAATCCACGTTATTTATTGGGTCGTTAAATATATTTTTAAAAAATCCATATTATTTAATAAAATATTAAATTATATTTTTAAAAAAATGCATGTTATTTAATAAAATATTGAAATTTATTTTAAAAAATATTTTTGAAAAATCTATGTTATTTAATAAAATATTTAAACATATTTTAAACAATCCAAGTTGTTTAATGGGACGTTAAAAATATTTTAAAAACACGTTACTTTTAAAAAAATTATTAGAAAATTCACTTTATTTAATGAGTTATTAAAAAATAATTTAAAAAAATCCAAATTATTTAATGGTTCTTTAAAAAAAAATTTAAAAAGTGTACATTATTTACTTGGTCTTTTATATATATTTTTTTAAATCCATGTTATCTAGTAGATCTTTAGAAAATATTTCTAAAAAATAGACTTTTAAAAAATATTAAAAAAAATCCAACAACAAAAATTCCGTATCTCTAAAGAAATATACGTCTTTAAACAGATTTAAAAAAATCACGTCATTTATTGGGACTTTAAAAATATATTTAAAAAAATACACGTCTTTAAAAAGAGATTTTAAAAGAATCTATGTTTAAAATGGGTCTTTAAAAAATATTAGAAAAAGTTCCTGTCTTTTAATTTTTTTTTTTAAATCCGCGTTTTTTAAGGGGTATTTAACAAATATTTAAAAAAATCCACGTTATTTAATGGGGTTTAAAAAAGCTAAAAAAATCCTTGTAATATACCGTGTCCTGGAAAATACTAAAAAATCCACGTCCTTTAATGAGTCTTTAAAAAATATTTAAAAACAATGCACGCCTTTAAAAAATATTTTTTAAACGGACTCACCTCTGCCCCTATTCCTCATTACCTCACAATTATTTTTATTTGTCTATTTTTTGGGAACCAAACTCTTCATTCGGGTCAACAACATACCTTGGCCCAAATTGTCACCACCAAATTCGTGTAGCGTCATTAAACAATGTTTTAAAAACACTAAACATTTATTACATAATTACGAACACGGCGAGTGCACACAAAATTAGAGCAATTTCCTTAAGGCAAAGCAACGACCTTAAGCAGAAACGTGCCACAACCAAAAACAGAAGCTGCTGCCGATGGTGTGTCGAACAAGAAATGCTTCCGTTTTGAATGCCGTAACCGAAAGCCATGAGGAACAAAAACACATAACATGAAGTTCTATAAAAGGAAATCCACCCGGTTGGGAAGTGGATAAGTGGGCCATATGTGGCACGTACCAGCCATAAATTATTTTAGGTTAAAACACTTGTTTATTTATTTTTTGCCGATTGAATTGTTACCATTAACAAATATTATATAATAATTGGGATTCTAATTTTGGTTGGGTTATGACACACTGTGTGTGTACCCATTTTTTGTGTGCCTTCGTCTTTGTTTTGTTTTGCTTCCATTTTTCAATTTTGTTTTGGCCAATTTTTTTTTATTTTGCCGGCTTTTATTTGTGCAATAAATGTTGCGCCTGAATTGCATTACGTAGCTAATGCGAAATGATTGGTGGCTTTAAGCCAAGTTCATTGCAATTTTCAGTGTTGCTTTTTTTCTTTAGCTTTGTCTAGCCTCTCTTGGTGTTGCTGTTGTTTCCTTTGACTGATTGGCCAACTGTCGGCTATCATTCATTTCACTTTTTTCCCTTTTGGCTGCATGCTAACATCATTCCGCATGTTCGGTTTTATGATTTAACAATGGCAATTGCAGCCAAATGTAATATTTGATATTTTTGGCTTGAAGTACCTTTTGGCCAAACTTGGTAATGCCTTGTTGACATTAAATGAAGTGTTAAATAATAAATAAATGAATGAATGAAAAAAGTTGGAAGGAAAAAACCTTGAATTGTTGTTGACATAAGACATCGGACATATAGCCTTTGGCGGGGAGATATATTCGAAATGGGGGAAAAATTAAATATTGAGGGGAAAATTAATTAAATTTGATTTCTTCAAAGTCTGCTGGTCTTCAAAAAATTATTAAAAAAAAAAATAAATTTTGTTTGGTTTCTCTTCAAAAATTATTTTTCTTAAAAAATCTTCTTTTTTTCTTTTGGTCTTTAATTTTTTTTTTTTATAAAGTATTACCAAAGTGCTGTTTGTCTTTCGAAAATATTTTTTTTGTGAATCCGCATTGTTTTGGGAGTCTTAAAAAATATTTTTTAAAATTAAAAATCCATTTGCTTTGGAGAAATATTTTTTTTTAAATTTTTAATTTATTAAATTTATAAATTTTAAAAATTCACATCGCTTTGTTGGTTTTTGAAAATATTTTCAAAAAATCTACTCTGTTCCGTTGGCCTTTAAAAAAATGTTCACAATTTTTTTGGCTCTATAAAATATATTTTTTTAATATTTTCTGTTGATCTTAAAAACTTTTTTTTTAAATTTACATTGTCGTGGTTGTTTTTAGAATTATTTTTAAGATATACGCATTTTTGCGTTGGTGTTAAAAAATATTTAAACAAAAATTTATTTTGCTATATTTTTTTAATCCATTAAATAACGTGAATTTTTTAAAAATATTTTCCAACGACCGATTAAATAATGTGGATATTTTAAAAAATAGTTTTTAAGGACCCATTGAATTTTTTTAAAAAATATTTTAATACACCCATTAGAGAACGTGGATTTTTTTTAAATATTTTCTATAGACGATTAAATAACGTAATATTTAATATTATAATATTTTTTTAATGACCCATTAAATAACGTGGAATTTTTTAAAACTATATTTTTAAAGACTTGTTACATAAGGTGAATTTTTTAAAAAATATTTTTAAAGGCCCATCATTAACATGGATTTTTTAAAAATATTTTCTAAAGACCGATTAAATAATGTGGATTTTTAAAAAATATTTTTTAAAGACCCATTATGTAACGTGGATTTTTTTAAAATTTTTTTTAAAAACCCATTATGTAACGTGGATTTTTTAAAAATATTTGTTTAAGACCCATTGAATAACGTGGATTTTTTTTAAAAATATATTTTTTTAAGACCAATTACGTGGATTTTTTAAAAAACTATTTTTTAAAGACTTGTTACATAAGGTGAATTTTTTAAAAAATATTTTTTAATGCCGCATTAAATAACGTGGATTTTTTAAAAATATTTGTTATGACCCATTAAATAACGTGGATTTTTTAAAAATATTTTTTATTATCCATTAAATAACGTGGATTTTTTAAAAATATTTTTTATTATCCATTAAATAACGTGGATTTTTTAAAAATATTTTTTATTATCCATTAAATAACGTGGATTTTTTAAAAATATTTTTTATTATCCATTAAATAACGTGGATTTTTTAAAAATATTTTTTTTGATGACCCATTAAATAACGTGGATTTTTTTTTAATATTTTTTTGATGATCCATTAAATAACGTGGATTTTTTAAAAATATTTTTTTTTAATGACCCATTAAATAACGTGGATTTTTTAAAAAATATTTTTTAATGACCGATTAAATAACGTAAATATTTTAAAAATATTTTATAAAGACCCCTTAAATAACGTGGATTTTTTTAAAAAAATATTTTTAAAGACTCATTAAATAACGTGGATTTTTTAAAAATATTTTTTAAAGACCAATTACGTGGATTTTTAAAAATATTTTTTAAAGACCAATTACGTGAATTCTTTAAAAATATTTTTAATGACCCACTAAATAACGGAATTTTTTAAAAATATTTTTTAATGGTCAATTAATTAACGTGAATTTTTTAAAAATATTTTTTAATGGCCCATTAAATAACGTGGATTTTTTAAAAATATTTTTTAATGGCCCATTAAATAACGTGGATTTTTTAAAAATATTTTTAAAGACCCATTAAATATTTTTAAAAAATCCACATTAACTAATAGGTTTTTAGAAATTATTTTTTAAAAATCTTTAATAGGTATAATATTTAAAAAAATCCACGTTATTAAAAAAATATTATTAAATATTTTCTGGTGGTCCTAAAAAATACTTATAAAATCTACAAAAACTACAAAAAAAAATAATTTTTTAAAGTTCATTTTCAATATTTTTTAAAACCCTCTTTTGTTTTGTGGGTCTTAGTCAGTGTTGGAGAGTAGGATAGACAGAAGAGTTTTTAGATATTCCAACTTTAACGTTACGAAAAGTTCTAAAGTGACTGAACATATTTCAATATTCCATTCGGCAAATATTAAAAAATGAGCTCGAGGTAAAGCCATTGAAATTTCAAAAAGTACAAGAAATTGCATCACAACCGAAAGAAAATCGACTCAAAAGAACTATAGAGTTGCTTCGTTTGGCCGAGTGGTGATTTGCCGAATTTACGTTTTTCCGATGAGAAAACATTCGTTGTCCAGCAGTTTATAAACAAACAAAATGATCGTGTTTACATGCAAAGAGGTCAGCTGAAAATGTGCACCTTCGGTTGGCCACCAGAACTCAAGTACCGAGCGCCGGCGATGGTGATGGTGTAGGCCGCCATAAGAGCGGATTGGTCGCTCTGTGGCACTCTGTGTTTTATTGGCCGTTTTAAGCCATAATTTGTGCCAAAGGTGACCATTTCGAACAAATCTAAACTTATGCTAAGATTTGATGCTAAAATCATGGCTTTTGACTTTGTTGCAGTTTTTTTTTATCCCACCCTGTATTGGTCCATTCCTTCGAAACCTACTCCACAGAGAGTCAAAAATTTGAATAATAAGAATCAGAAGTCAAAATATATTTAAATAATCGAACATTGTCTGAGGGCATACATCTGTCTGCAAAACCGACTTATACTATTTTAACTTGTTCTGCAATAACAAAGATAGTCTTATTTAAGAGCTCGCCACACCCACAAACACCCCTTACAATATTTGGAGGTAATCTTTGATTTATTAGTTTTTCTATGAAATTCCTGTTGAGGTAAGAAATCAGTGGCGATTAAAATTGGGGCTTTGGTTAGCAAAATAAAATTCTGAACAACCGTCTGGCATATATACACCGAATTTGGGCTTGAATATCCCGGAATAGCGTTAATTAACACTTTAATTTTAATGGTTAGCCTTATAACTGACAGTATAAATTATGATGAAATAGATAGTTTTAAAAGTAAATGTGGAGGATTTGAGTCGAATCCAATCAAATTTAAAATGTTGAGAAAAATATGCCTGTGAAACGCAACATGAAAACGATAACGATATAAATAATTGGATTTTTTTTATGTGTGAGATCTATTATTTTTGAGGAGTATATCAGGAATAGATAACTCTTCAAAATGGAAAAAAATGTATAAGAAATAATTTCCAATCATAAATTTCATTTTTTTTACTTTTTTATTTGTTTTTTTTTTTTTACGAAGAATATCGAATTAAAATTTGAGAAAAACAAAATATGTCATTCTATTACTTAAAGCTATTTTATCATTAGCTTTAATGGTTGAGAGTGGCATATTTTTTCCATATTTAATTCGATCGGTTTACATTTTCAATTCTTTTGTAGTTTTAGAAAAATTTGTGGAGGGTTTGAGTCGAATCCAAACAACTTAAAAATGTTGATAAAAATATGTCCATCAAACTCAAAATGGAAACGATAATGGTATAAATAATTGGATTTTTTATATCTGAGATCTATTAGATTGGAGCAGTATATTGGGTTTAGATAATTCTTCCAAATAGAAATAATATATAGAAATAATTTCCAATCATAAATTTCTTTTTTTTTTACTTTTTTATTTGCTTTTTTTGACGAAGAATATCGAATTAAAATATGAGAAAAAAATATGCCATTCTATTACCTAAATCTATTTTATCATTAGCTTTGCTAGATTAGAGTGGTATTTTTTTTTTCTTCATATTTAATTCGATCGGTTTACATTTCCAATCCTTTTGAAATTTGACGAATATTGTCTATGTCATAATAAAATATGCTGTGGGCTTTCGGCTTTTTAAGAAAATATTTCATATTTTTTTACGAAGTCTGAAGATATTTTTTTTGTTAAGCTTTTTAATTCACGATTAATAAATATTATTCCTATTATGCTGACTTCAAAAATTCTGCATTACACCACTCATAAATGGCTATAATTCCAAAATAATTTTGAAAAAAAAAAATAAGCTTGGTTTTTGTTAAAAAAAATGCTCAAGAATGGGTTTGGCCCCACACAATTTATGACAACAATTTTCAGCACCATAAAGTTTGGTAATCCATTTTTCTGTGTCTTTAATTATCCCATAAATTAATTTAATTCATTTCGATTATTTTCAAAATATTTGTCCATTGGAAACAGCCAACAATTTGTTTTATGTCTTTTTCAACTATTCACAAATCAAGTTTGTTGCTTAAGTCTTTTGTTTGTACTTCTTGACTTTTTCTCAGCGTTCTCAATTTTCAATATTTTTTTCACAAAGAACTTTTTTTTTCGTTATTACACAACTTTGTTTAAATATCCATTTAATGTTTATTAATTGTTTATATAGTTATTTTTATTTTTAAAAATATTTTTTTTATTATTTTTTTTTAATTCATACCATAGATTTCATTTTGGTTCTATTTGAATTTTTTTTGCAAAGGAAAAGAAAACAAAAACACCGCACACACACACTCTCACTCGCAAGGACTTTTGATGAATTTAAAAAAATAATTAAAAAAATAAAGAATACAACAAAAATTGTTGTTGTCCCAAAGGGTTACTATTTGGATGAACCCACAACAGTGAACTGAATAATTTCGTTCGGTACGCTTGAGCTTTATATACCACTGCTCAAAAACGCTTGATAGAAAATCTCAGGCATCTCTGCAGTATTTTGCGATGTTTTTGCTGTTGCTGCTGGCGTTGTTTTTGTGCAGAATTGTCAATGAGATGAGAGGGGCGTAATAGGAGACGCATATTAACAATTATAGAGCTCTAGACCATATTTCTGTGAGTGGTTGTAGTTTTTGTTTTTTTTTTTTTGTTTCACTATATATTTGAAACCAATCTTTTTTCGTCAACACTATTGAGAGCTATTCATAACACCAACAACAACAACAACAATTTTTAACCACAGCAGCCTTTGAAAAGAGCAGTTTTACTTAAAACATGTTTTAAACCAATCTTTTGCGCAAAGCAAATAAAAAGCTTTTTTTCTATAGCCTCTAACTTAAAGAAAATATTATCTGCAAAGAGTATGATATGCCGGAGAGTCACTTGTGGGTTTTCATAATGAAAACGAGAGTGATTTTTTTCCTGCAACAAAAAAGCTTTTATTTCGTATACGTATACGAATGAGAGTGTCACACGTATAGTATCGGTGTATATATGTGAGTTCACCGATATGTTTACACAAATTGTCAGGGTATTGGTGTTGTGTGTAGCCAGCGAGCCGTCCAACCATACGTATAATGAATGTGACTTTTTAAGGAACTGTAAAATTTGGTTTGGCTGTTGTTTTGCATAGCTTGTGGATTTACAAATCGTATGATATTCAAATAGTTTGAAATCTGGGTTCGTTGCTGGCACATAAGTGAAGGAGTTTTTTTTTTGATATTGCAGAAAAATAGAAATAACATAAAATTGGAATAAAATGCAATAAAATTCCAAGTCGTATTTTAAAAAAAAAAAATCAATCCTGGATCATCAGCTTAAAAATCGTGGACTTTTTGAAGGATATTTAGGGATATTTTATTTTTTTTTTAATTATTCGAGCTATAATTTTGAATTTTATGGAAAAATAAATAATAATAAAATAGAGAAATAAAAAGAATTTATAAAAATAAAATTGAGTTATAATCGCGGATTTTGAAAGAATTTTTATGATGTATTTTTTTCTGACGTAGTTTTGCATAGCTTGTGGATTTACAAATCGTATGATATTCAAATAGTTTGAAATCTGGGTTCGTTGTTGGCACATAAGTGAAGGAGTTTTTTTTTTTTTGATATTACAGAAAATTAAAAATTAAAATAAAATTGGAATAAAATACCATGGACTAATAGTTGTATTTTTAAACAAATTTTCAATCCTGGATCTTCAGCTTAATAATCGTGGATTTTTTGAAAGGTATTGAGGGATATTTTATAATTTTTTTGTTTAGAAATTATTCGAACTATAATTTTGAATTTTATGGAAAAATAAATAATAATAAAATAGAGAAATAAAAAGAATTTATAAAAATAAAATTGAGTTATAATCGCGGATTTTGAAAGAATTTTTTTGATGTATTTTGTTCTGATGTAGTTTTGCATAGCTTGTGGACTTACAAATCGTATAATATAATACAGTTTGAAAACTGTATTCTGTATTGCTGGCACATAAGTGGAGTAGTTTTTTTTTGACATTACAGAAAATTGAAAATTAAAATAAAATTGGAATAAAATGTATTGTATTTTTAAACAAATTTTCAATTATGGATCATCAGCTAAATAATCGTGGATTTTTTGAATGATATTGAGGGATATTTTATAATTTTTTTGTTTAGAAATTATTCGAACTATAATTTTGGATTTTAATAAAAAATAAATAAAAATAAAATTGAGAAATAAAATTAATAATAAAATTGGGTTTTAATCGTGGATTTTGAAAGAAAAAAATGTGTATTTTCAAGGACTACCAAAGGTATAAATGTGCGTTTTAGCTAATATTTTTCATAGATTACAAAAGCAATTATTATTAGTCCAATATAATGTCTATCAGAGCTAAAATTTGTTTTAGTTTTACCGAGTATTTTTCCAAGAATCTCAGATCTTTAGTTTCGTATTTTTTTAGTATAAATTCACAGACCTAGCGAGCAATAACTGTGGAGGTCTCAAAAATAATTTTTATGGACTATCAGAGAGCTATACATATTTTTAAAGAATATTCCTATGGATTATCACAGCCGCATGGTCATGGATCATTAAAGAAGGGCTCTACGAACCACAAATATTCAAATGACTCTCTTTTGTATTCATCAGAATGATTTTCTATGCAGCCATATTTATGGATATAAAAAAAATATAATAAAAAAAATAAAAATAATTCAGAATGGTTTTCTATGGATCTAAAAAAAAAATTGGAATATTCTAAAAAATATTTTTTCATGGATTAAGATTCAGAGTCAAAAACGTGGAGTCTAATAGTGAATTTATATTATTATATATATATATATATATATGTATATATATATATGGATATATAATATATATATATATATATATATATATATATATATATATATATATATATATATATATATATATATATATATATATATATATATATATATATATATATAAATATATATATATATATATATATATATATATATATATATATATATATATATATATATATATATATATATATATATATATATATATCCATTTCGCGTTTTATTAGGTTCATGAATATTCAAAATGTTGACCCTTTGTGGGTGAGGTAACAGAAGGAGTTGACCCAAATGCCCCATCTTCAAAGCAGATCTTGTGTTAGTAGAAATAGTGGCTTGTGTGTAATATGAAGAGAACCGGATGCTTATTTCGGATTTTATCATCGTTTTGGTTATTCAAAACTTTTATTCTTTGTGGAGGGAGGTACCGTACAGGGACGGACATGAAACGGATTTAGTGCAAAGAGACCTAGGGTCCGAAACTGTTATTCCGATGAGGCACGTTTTGGCCGTATCAAATGATATATCCTCTCTGTAGCCATATGGCTGAGGGTATAAAAACTGCTAGATATATTTTTATACCCTCCACCTTGAAAGGAGGATATATTAACTTTGTCACGTGACGTAGAGCGTCAAAATTTAGCAGAGCATTTGGTATTGTGTCTAGGATGGTTGGTATTGAAAATGAGATATATCGGTCCACGTTCTGGTATAGTCCCCATATAACGGTACCTCCCGATATTCGGTATTTTGATGATTTTTGCCACATTTTTTTACGGATTTGTCTGAAAATTGGTATTTGTAGGTCATAACGGGTCCCTGTACGTGTGGCAAAACATTGCATGTATAGGTCCTCGTTTTGGTATAGCCCTCATATAAAGGTACCTTCCGATATTCGGTATTTTGATTATTTTTGGCACATTTTTCACGGATTTGTCTGAAAATTGGTATTTGTAGGTCATAACAGGTCCCTGTACGTGTGGCAAAACATTGCATGTATAGGTCCTCGTTTTGGTATAGCCCTCATATAAAGGTACCTCCCGATATTCGGTATTTTCATGATTTTTGCCACATTTTTTTTACGGATTTGTCTGAAAATTGGTATTTGTTGGTCATAATGGTTTCCAGCTCTGGTGGCGAAACATTGTATGTATGGGTCCATGATTTGGTATAGCCACCATATAACGGTACCTCCCAATATTCGGTATTTTGATGATTTTTGGCACATTTTTTTTACGAATTTCTCTGAAAATTTGGTAGTTGTAGATCATAATGGGTCCCAGTTCGTGTGGCGAGTCATTGTAATTATAGGCCCACGGTTTGGTATAGCCCCCATATAACGGTACCTCCCAATATTCGGTATTTTTATGATTTTAGCGGCATTATTTACCGGAATTGTTTCAAAATTGCTATTTGAAGTTCGTAAAGGATACTACAGCCTATGGCAGAAAATTGTCTGTGCAGGTCCACGTTTTATAACCCCCATGGTACTACATTATAAACAGATCTTTATTTTCAAGTTTCGCATTTCAATATTGTAATTGCTTATGACAAAAGTAGCCTATTCAGGTCCACGTCGTCATATAAACCGTAAAGTAACGGGTACAGTCGGTATTTTTAAGATTTTAACAGAATTTTTAACGGATTTTTTTTTTTTTTTTGAAAATTGCAAAATTTATACCAGTTGGTGGAGGGCATTCAAAATTCGGGCCGGCCGAACTGACAGCTTTTTTACTTGTTTTTAATTATCCGAGATAAAATTGTGGAATTAATAGATATTTTTTGAATATAAATAAAATTGTTGATGCCGGAGTTATAATCGTTGATTTTGAATGGAAAAAATAGAATTTTTCAAGGACTACCAATGGTATAAGTGTGGGACTTTGAGTTAACTTTTTTGTGGATAACAAGAGTAATTTTTATGACTTCAATAGAATGACTATCAGAGGTAAAATTTTGTTTCGATTTTACGGAATATTTCTCTGAGAATTTCAGAGCTATAGCCAGGAATTTCTAAGCATATTTTTTAACAGATATCGCTGAGCAATATTTCAAAAAATATTATTTATGGGTTTTTCAAGAATATTATTTTAGGACTATCAGAGCTTTAACATTGGATTTTAAGGGAAGGGAAAATTATACTTTATCGAGTATTTGTGATATAATTTTGGATTTTGAAAATATTAGTGAACTTCTTAAATCCAGATTTTGAGAATATATTTTCATGGACTGCCAGAATCATAAACATGGAATCTCAGCGTGAATTTATAACGAAGATATTCTCATAAACTAGCTTATATTTTTACCTGTAGTTGCAGAGCATATTGTCTGTCAGAACTATAATCGTTGATTTCTTTGAAGAATGTTCTTTTTTATTTAGGAATATTTTTTTTGGAATATTTGCGATAAATTCTAGGTTTTTAAAATCATATTTTCTATGGATTCGTAGAAACATAACCGAGATTTTTTGCAGAATATTTTTCCAAACACTTGCAGGACCACGACTATGGATTTTTTAAAGAATATGAGAGCTGTGATCTTGGGTTAAAAAAATATATGTGTAACCATTAGCTTTTTTGGTATTTTCTTTCCTGGACTATCAAATA